ATAGAGTTAGAACAATGTAAGTAATTGTAACATTTAAATTTGCATGAAGGGTCATTGTAAAAGTCATTTGGCTTTTATAGTTACTTAGGTATTATGGGGTTGAGAGCCGACATCAGGCTGATCAGTCAGATGCAGTTTTTGGAATCCTGTGTCTTCAATGGCAGAGAAGCAGTGTGTTCCAATATCAATTGGCAGGAAAAATTTTCTTAGCATTTCCAGTCAACTCAGCTTTAAAGGAAAGATGATCTTCAAGAAATCATCAAATTTTAACAATATGTTTGTCAAAATGATGTATGAGTATGAAGGCATAGGTATAGGAGTATTTGGGTATACAGTGCATGTTTTAAAGGGCACTTTAAATCAAACAAGGTAATTTCATAATACAAGGTCACTCAAGACGACACTATTCAAAAACCTGCTTATAGTAGAGTATAGTAAAGTATAGTAGATCATAGTGGGAATTGTACACGTTCGATTTTCAAGCAGTGTATACAGTCATCTTTGGCTTTGGCATTGCGTAGAATAGGGTAAATTATTAACAATAGGACTCATATGTGCCCATTTTATTGTAATTTCATAGCTCATGCCTTCGTGTTACCCTATGTGACTCGCCATGCCTGTATAGCGAATACCGAATAGCGCATACTCCTTTGTGATACAGTAAACCCTAACACTTCTCTAAAAACAAAAAAGGGATCCCTACCACCCATTCTTGCTAATACACTGTCTATAGAGATTGAACTTGTTATGTATTGTTTTAGGTACCATATAATTGCCATTGAACCATATTGTGCCTAAAATGGAACTTTGGAACACTCCCAAATAATTAGGCAAGATAAGATATAACCTAATTGGATAACCACCTATATAACATTATCTTTATAGGTTATCATATAGAGAAAAATGTCTTTTAAAGATCTAAAACTAAGCCTAATCAAGTTTCTCAACATCTCATTTTATACTATAACTGTTGACTAACCTTCTAATAAGGTTATCTTTGAAGGTTATCATCAAGTGAAAAGATGTTGGAATTTATTGATGCATTTGACATTATCTAATATACTATTTTATAAAATTTTATACCACTTTGGTTCTCAATTTTCTAAAATAAGTATATCTTTTGATGCCACTGTCTTCATAAAATGAAATGATAACTTGAAGATCTTGATGCATTAAAGAGAACTATTCCCTGTTTAGCCTGACTCTAGATGCTTTAGTAACAGTAAAAGCAATTGAATCCTCAATCATGTCATGTTGGGGTGCCTGTATTGTTTTCCTTCAATATAAACAAAATGTCAAGTTTAGGTTTGTCATTGGCATTATCAGAATTAATGGATTTGGCATAATCCAAGAAGCATTCAGTTTTGAATTTCAGGAAATTCAGTTTTTAGAATTTTTGACAGTCATAAGATAAATACAAAAATTATCAGAAAAGGGTTTTGCCAGTTAGAATTGGCATTATCTTGTAGAATAGCTAGCAATCATAAAGATACAATAAAATCTTATAGTTTAAGTAGAATTGAACTATATGTCAGATTGTTTTCATACCAGTTTCTTAAAAACCATATTATGATATCAGGAAAAGGTTGATTATATAAAAAGAATTGGCATTATCCTGTTACTAGCTGAAGATTGATATTTAATAATTGAAAGTATTTTGTTTTCGTGAAGATTAGAAACAAGATTATTGAATCTCTTAATTAATTAGCTAACAAATAAATGGCAATCAGTATTATATTCGGAAAAATGTTGTATATGAGGTAGAGTTTTACACCTTATGTATGATTGGGGAAAAGAAAGTGGCTTGGTTGATATCATTTCTAGCTTCATATTGACTCTTGATAATTCCTTGCTTGTACTTTGCTTATAGAACTGTATAGCAAATGCATTGTGAAATAAATAAGAGACTAATATTGTGTGTTCAGATACACACAAAATCCTATTGATATCATTGGTTTCAGGACTTCTTTCATATTTCTCCTTAGTTTACTTCTTTTATCAGGGTACAGACAGTTGCTCACCAGACAGCTTACGTGACAGTGTTGCTCACCAGACTGTTGCTCACTGGATCATTGCTCACATCTTATATATTTACATCCAAATAGTATTTGGGGATGAAAACCATAGAACAAATAGCCTCTTGCTAAATCCCTTTTATAGAATATACCTGAAATGCAGTGGTTTTGTCCAATCAAGATTAAAGTTCCAATACATGTATAATACTATTGATTAGAATAATGGAAATTTATGTTTCATTTATCTTTCTCCATTCCATTATTTTCATTTTCATTAGACAATTGTATCAACAGGCTAGATTATAGGTTCATTGACTCTTATCATACTCTTCTCTGTGATTGTCATTATCTGATATCAGATTCCTGTAGTCATGGCGAACACATTCTGATCACAGAAAACTATAATATGCCATTTGATAACAAAAAACTATTTTATTACAAGCCTGTTCTGACCACAATATGCCATTCCAATCCTGATCACTGAAAACTGTGATATTTCATTCCTATCTGATGACAAAATGTCAAACCAATTCTGATCACAATATGCCAATCCAATTCTGATCACTGAAAACTGTGATATGCCAATCCCATTCCGGTCACAATATGCCAATCCCATTCAGATCACAATATGCCAATCCCATTCTTATCACTGAAAACTGTGATATGCCAATCCCAATCTGATCACAATATGCCAATCCCATTCAGATCACAATATGCCAATCCCATTCTTATCACTGAAAACTGTGATATGCCAATCCCAATCTGATCACAATATGCCAATCCCATTCAGATCACAATATGCCAAACCCATTCTGACCTCTGGAAAACTAGCAAACACAGTTTATTGAGATAGAGACATGATTACGAATGACAGAGCAATAAAATCTCTATCTTTATTTAATGTAATATGTCCCAAGGGATCCAAGACATGCTGTAAATGCATTTAGAATGACCTTTTGAACATGAAGTAATCAAATATAAAATCCCCTGATAATACAGGACATTTGATAACTTATGTGCAATTTAAGAGACTGACAGTCAATTGTTGTAAAATCAACAGCTTTGTTGTTGATATACCGGGTAGCTGTTATATTATAACAATTCCATTATTTATAAAATGTTTCTCTTTGCCACCATGACACAAGTGCTTTTATTAACTTAGCATTTTGTTATTAGAGTTGAAGAGAAAAAGACTAATATTTCAATTTTCATACACAACCATGCCATGTATCTTGAACCATAACATTTATTTAGTACGAAACAAAGTTTTCTTGTGAATATATATGATTGTTAAAAAATTGGCGTACCTGCATCATGTGATTTTTGTTTTTAACCCTTCCTTGTGCATGGAGTTTCCCTTTTGAAACTTGTCTACTTACTAGTTGAATAATTTATTGTATTCTGAAGTTATCACAATTTGCCTTGTTAAAAAAACTAATGGAAATAAACTAAAAAAACATGTAAGAGTATATATACCTGAAAATTTGACCTAGAATTCCATATTTATACATGAATAGTTATTTAAACCTTCAAACACCTATTTTTTGACAATTTTTTCAATCAAATGTAAGTTAACAATGTATGTCAGAGATCAAGCTTGAATTTTGGTTCATTTGAATTTTTGTTGTATTTTTCAGTGGACAAGTTATTAGATGATCTTGCAGCAGGTACTGCTCTGTATAAAGTCAAGTCTGCAACCAAACTCTTACAAAGAACTTTCTCTCTGGACAGAAAGCGAATGATTCTACATTATGATGGCTCACAGAAAAGATTTCGTGAACCTAAACCAGATCGTAAGTTTCAGTATTTATTAAGGTGCCGCTAATTATAACTTCCGTTTGCAATTTTGGCAGTTGACTGCAAAAGTAACCAATATAGACCATGTTTTTTAATTTCATAAGTGTAAAAACCATGTGCCCGTTATAATAGCCTTGTTTAATTACAGAACTTTTTTCAAGAACAGTGTCTACTGATTGATGAACTGGATTCACTTAGAAGCAGATCTTTGTTTTGTTTTTTTTGCCTTTTAAAAAGTATACTAATTTCATTTGCATTATATTCTTTCCCACAAGTTGAATTGTGGACTTTTTAATTTTTTGTACTGAAAAGTGAATGTTTAAAATTTGTATTTATTTGTCATTACAGTACGAATCTCACAAATACGAGAAGTTCGAGAAGGAGAAAAAGATTTTTCTAAAAGATTGAATGGTGTAGATGTAAGTTATTATAGCTTTATAGTCATATTCAGCTTTTGAAATTGATAACAACCCTGATCAGTATAAGAAATGATTATGTTCTAGTTTGGGGTATATCTGCTACTTCCCAAAAAACCTGTTGGAATTTGTAATGGGATCTTTTCAGGATGAACTCTTTAACAGGTCATTTTCTATATGAATAAATAAAGTGATCATTACCATGTGATGTAATTTAGATATAAAAGATGCACATTTCAATCTATAAAACTAGGAATATGGGTTAAAATTTAAAGGTTTAAAAGAAGCTAATCATCAGTTTATTTAAATCCTAATTTTAACATGAACAATGAATATAATTTTTAATAAGTTATACACACTTTATTTCAGAAATCATTATGTTTTGCAATCATTGTTGGTGTGAATCATAAAGTGATACATCTAATGGCTATGAGAAGAGAAATAAGAGATAAGTGGGTACGAGGTTTAAGATATGCTATACAGATGGATAAATTAGCAGAACAGAGAAACGAGACTGACAAATATCCTTTTAAAATTGTTTGGTTTGAAAACAAAACTACATGATCTTAAGAAATTTTTGAATTTTGAATGATTAGAATATTGAATGATTAGAATATTGACCAATCAGAGACCTAAAAAAAAAAAAATCATAAAGTTTGACTGTCTTAAGAACATTATCAGATTTGTCCATTCAAAAGTCATTCTGGCATCGTGCTTGAATCTAGTGTGTAATTTACTAATGTATGTTAAAATTCCTTAACCTAATTTTACATGGATCAGAGATGCCTTTAATGCAGCAGATAAAAATGGTGATGGTAGTTTAGATTTTGGTGAAATTATGAAATTATTAAAAGCAATAAACGTTGATGTGAAGAAAAAATATGCTCAAGAAATGTTCGATGTAAGTTAATCAAGCCATCTTCAATATTTCAACATAGTCTTAAGTGATAGGATTTGAAAGTCATCATTTGGTCAACTTTTGGAAGCACTGGCCTTGAGGTTAAAAATTTCTTATCTGCTGGAGGATGCCAAACTACAGCACCTAATCACCTGGCAGTCAAAATTCCAATTAGCTACAATACACCACAAACAATTCATTTTGGGACCTTTTCTGTTTTTGTGAGTTTATTTGTAGAGTTCTTAGGTTGACAAGTATTTTTTTGATATTTCAGGCTGCCAATGTCAATAAAAATGATAAAAAAGGTCGAGACACCCTGGATAGACAGGAATTTATAACTTTCTATCATCAATTAACACGTAGACCAGAACTAGAAGAACTCTTCATCAAGTAAGTCAATTTTGGTTGTGTAAAAAGTGTATGATGAGCCTTGTCTGTCTTTTATTACATTTGGGTAAAACATGAGAAAATATAACATTGAAAGGAGAGGATTATCTATTAAATCTGTCATTTTAGAACTAAAATTAGATTTTTGATCAAATCTGTATTAACTTCTACATTAATTTATTGATATATGATATTATTTATTATTTTATAATCTATGTTTATTTTAGATATAGTCGTGGTAAAGGTGTGATGCATGTATCAGATATTTTATCATTTATGAGAGATGGACAAAGGGTAAGAGTCATTTTTATTATACAATCTCAATAAAGTGTTAATGGAAATTTCAACATAATAAATCTAAACATAACAATGTTAATAATAATGATTCTGAGATAGTGACGATACTGTACTTTTCTCAACTCAAACTAACAGCATTTAATTCCTTAGCAAATAATACTCCATTACGGAATATGAATATTATTCAACTGCCGCCAAATAGGCAAAAAAAAATCATAACTATATCCCAATTTTTACTAATGTGACCAATTTTCATTTCATAATAGAGAATAGAAACTGATGAAGACTTCTGCCGCCATGTGATTGAAATCTTTGAACCACAAGCTGTTTTTAAGAATAGAGAACAGTTGAGTTTGATAGGTGAGTAATTCATTAATTGTTGTCTGATTTTATTGTAAAATTATCTCCCTTTAGTCTTCAAAGTTTATTTGAGTTACTTTTACTTTAACCAAGTTTACATTACGTCTAATCTCTCGACTGTTTATACTACCAAATTTTGTACTGTTCAATTCTGAGAACTGACCATGTCACCTCGGTAGTCTCATATTGGAACTGTTTTCAGAATGATAATTTTTTAATGTAAAAACAGTTTTTGACTAATGACTGGATGATTTGTTATGTTAAATGTTAGCTGTGTGCTCTCTCTCTCTCAAAAGTATGATGAGTTGACAAGTGTTGTGGAGTGATATTAGGTATTATTAAAGAATGAGAAAAGGGTAACTGTAATATCAGTGATTTTCTCTTGCAAAGTTATCAGTCCTTTGATGATTTGTGATTAATTTACTGTAGTGTTCCAAGATCAAACAATGTTCACATGTTTTTTGCAGGTTTTACTAATTTCTTGAAGTCTGAAAAACAGCAATTATTTAATCCTAATCATAACATTGTATATCAAGATATGACGAAACCATTTTCACATTATTTCATTGATTCTTCACATAACACGTAAGTTAAATTCTTGATATTAGTTCTTTAGTCAGTAAAGTTAATATTGTTTCCCTGACATGTATACAATGACGTTGTACATAGCACATGCAAAACTTTCCATGTGCAATGCATGATTTTATAATGCTACAATAAAATGACCAGCTTTCATGTGTATCAAACCCATTTATGACTTCCAATGACATCATTCCAATTCATCATATGTCTGTGGTTCCTGTTAAATATTTCTAATATCTCTAATATATAGATGCCTTTGCTACGTCATAAAAGGCTTAGTTTAAGTGGAAAAAATCAGAGAAAGAATTATGTAAGATTTTGTTTGTTTCTAGATATTTAACAGATGATCAGCTACGAGGACCAAGTAGAGTAGAAGCCTATATTACAGCATTAGAGAAAGGTTGTAGATGCGTAGAATGTAAGTACTGATTATCAGATATTAATGATTTATTCAAAGAGATACTGACTTCATAATATTTGTTTATCATTTTGATGTTTTGTTTTCTGGGTTTTTTTCTGTATGTCCTCACACATTCGATTTTTGATCTGACAAGATTCTTCATAAAATCTTGTTCTGTAGACATTAGACCCACTAGCATTATTAAAAACACCACATATAATATGGAGATCTTTTATTGAATATAGCATTTGATTGTTTGAATATTGAATCCCCCAGAACATGAGATGCATAACAATTTCGTTATGCAGTTCCAAAACATTCAGATTATACAGTGTGTGTTTATATTACAGTGGATTGTTGGGATGGAGCTGATGGAGAACCAGTTATATATCATGGTTATACCTTAACTTCTAAAATATTATTTAAAGATGTTATACATGCTGTTAAACTCCATGCATTTAAAGCATCACCTTATCCTGTTACTTTATCATTAGAAAATCATTGTTCATTGCCCCAGCAGTTAGTTATGGTGAATCACATGAAGACTATATTAGGAGGTATCCTTTTTTGGAAAAAAAATGTCTTCGTATTTGGATACTGTCTAGTTATTGGAAATAAAGGGAATTGTATCAAATATCTCTTGGTTTGAGGATGTGAACTTGCATCACAGATTAATCTGTTCATGCTTGTTGATTGATAAGTACAACTGGATTTGTATTTGTAATTGTCCAATCAGATAATTGAAGCTAAAGAATGATTGAAATTTATAATTTTTTCTGAAATTAGCCCTCGTCACTTTATTCTGTTTTTTGGATTTTTTTTCTCAAATTGATAGTAAATTGAATAATTTACATGATGAATTTGAAAATTGCCAAAAAGAGAAAATAAATGAAATTTTCATTGTTAAAGTGTTTATTTGTGGATCATCTTAAAGTTATTGTTGACATCATTTCTATATTCTATGTAGTTCCTTAACCCACTGTTTAGATTCATTATGGTCACCAGAAGGGAAATTTTTGAAGTATACTCCTTCTCCCCACGAGTTGAAGAATAAAATTATTATCAAGGTAAATATAAATTTATTTTAAATTCAAATACATAACATGTCTTTGCTATCGAAAAAGACAATTTAAAGAATCCCAGACCCAGTAAATGTATCATATACCTTGTATTTTAGGGCAAGAGATTACCATTAGCATCACCAGCTGTTGATGATGTCAGTGATGAAGATGAATCAGCTGAAAATAACAATAACGTTTCACCAACGGAAGCTGTGAAAGAAGACAAACATAAACATAAAGTCAAGTTAATACAAGAACTATCTGATATAACCACTATGCAGAGTATCAGTTTTAAAGGTGTTGAAAAAGCTATGGCTGAAGGTATAACTTTCTTTGTTAAGTTTTTCTACTGTTATCTTGATATGTTTTGATTATATCATGTTTTATTTTTGTAGATAACAATTTGATCATATTTTGTTATTTTAGATAATTAGATAGAAATTTGATCAGATTTTGTTTTTTTAGATAACAATTTGATTATATTTGTTATTTTAGATAACAATTTGATTATATTTGTTATTTTAGATAACAATTTGATTATATGTGTTATTTTAGATTGATCATATTGTTACTTTAGATGACTATTTCAGATGATGATTTTATTATTTCTGATGGTAGTTTTGTCCTATTTTGCTATGATAATTTTATTCTATTTTGATATTTCAGATGGTAATTTTGTCCTATTTTGCTATTTCAGATGATAATTTTATCCTATTTTGTTATTATAATTTTTTATCTTATTTTCTTATTTCAGATGATAATTTTATCCTATTTTTTATTTTTTCATTTCAGATGATAATTTTATCCTATTTTGTTATTTCAGATGATAATTTTATCCTGTTTTGTTATTTCAGATTTTATCCTATTTTGTTATTTCAGATGATAATTTTATCCTATTTTGTTATTTCAGATGATAATTTTTATCCTATTTTGTTATTTCAGATGATAATTTTATCCTGTTTTGTTATTTCAGATTTTATCCTATTTTGTTATTTCAGATGATAATTTTATCCTATTTTGTTATTTCAGATGGTAATTTTATCCTCTTTTGTTATTTCAGATGATAATTTTATCCTATTTTGTTATTTCAGATGGTAATTTTATCCTATTTTGTTATTTCAGATGGTAATTTTACCCCATTTTGTTATTTCAGATGGTAATTTTATTGTATTTTCACTGGGTGAGAATAAAATTGACAAGTTATTGAGTACACAAGCTAATGATGTCAATACATTATCACATAGTAAATTATTACGTATTTATCCTGCTGGTTCCAGAACTGATTCCAGTAATTATAATCCAGTACCAATGTGGAACTGTGGTGCTCAAGTTGGTAAGTTTCAGTACTGTTATAAATAAAATGTAAAAATACAAATGGTAGGAGAAAAGTCACTCAATCTTGTAAAGAGCAAATGTCATTACACTTATGCAGCTGTCCTGGCAAAGTTTACCTCATTGCAAACTGCATAAGGTACAGAGATGTAGGATGTAAAGCTATATTTGATTCATTTCATTTTCATTGGGTAAATTGTGTTTCTGAAAATGTTTTTTATATTTCCAGTGGCATTAAATTATCAAACTGGAACTGAACATATGCAGTTGAATCATGGTAGATTTTTAGACAATGGTGGATCAGGATATGTATTAAAACCTAATTTCTTATTATCAAGTAAGTTTTATGTTTTTTGTTTGAATTATTAAGGCTAAGAGTTTTATGTGAAAAATTCCACTGTTTTGTACTAAGGAATGTCCAAATTAACATTTAAATTTGTTTTTTTCTGATCTGTTTACAGGTGAAATGTTTGGTATTGTTAATGATACTGTTCCAAGGAATAAATCCAAAACTCTCAAAATAACAGTAAGTCGTAATTTATGAAATATTTCCAAGATATTTTGTCAACATTTTGGTTGCATTTGACAAGATGAAACCACAGAATGAAAAGGAAGGCAATTTATTCAATATTATTCTGACATTTTGTTACAAGGTGGACGCAAATACTTAAGTATAAATATTACTTTCTTTGATATGACACTGTTGAACACTTTTATTATGGTGGGTAGGTATGAGAAAATGAAATCAATTCAATCTAGTACATGGCATTTGTCTGTTTGTAATATTGCTAATATAGTTATTTTTCATTTGTAAATAATAATATATAATGATATATAATTTAGGTTTTAGAAGGTATAACAAATACTTAAATGGGTTTACTTATATTTGATAATTGTTTATAATTTAGGTTGTTAGTGGATATCAAATACCTAAACCTAAAGACTCATCACGTGGTGAAATTATAGATCCTTTTGTTAAAATAGAGATACATGGTGTACAATCTGACTATCATGAAGTCAGAACAAAAACAGTGGAAAATAATGGTACCATTTTGTTTTAATTCTTTACTACTTTTGAGACATTTATTTCTTGATCAGGAAATGAAATGGAAGTCATCTGTAACTGCCCTTTTGGATGCAACTTCTACAGCTTCAACCCCCAACAATGGCATCTATTGAAACTGTGATCTCTTTTGAAAGCTTTATTCCCATAGGTCCAATGAAAATGTAGAAACTAAATAATTGAAAGTTTCCAAAACATAGAATCTGAAACATGTTCAAATAAGTTCAGAATGGCCAAGAAATTTGATTGTGGAAGAAACATTTTTAATATTTTTGTTTGTTTGTTGTAGGTTTGAATCCGAGATGGTATGAAAATTTCTCTCTACGTGTACGAGTACCTGAACTAGCTATGGTTAGATTTGTTGTTAAAGATGAAGATAGAGGAAGAGATGATTTTATTGGTTATTATTGTCTACCATTTAACAGTATACAAGAAGGTATAATTTACTTAAATACCTTTTATATGTAGTTTAAAATACATGTATATGATTTGGCAATCAAAAAAAAAATATTTTGTAAATAAAAAAAATGATGGTTTTTGAAATCTAAAAGTTGATTTTTTTGCATTATAATAGATGAATTAGCAATCAAAAAAAGACGATGTTGGCCATCAAAAATGACTTTGTAATTTTGTAATCAAAATAGCTGATTTTGCAATGAGTTTTTAAAAAATAATTTACCAGTTTACCTATGAATAATAATAATAATAATAATGATGATGATATTAACAATGAAAAAGATGATATAGATTTGAAATGTCTGTGTATTTACAGGTTATAGACATTTCCCACTCTACAATAAATATGGTAGTAAATTATCACAAACTATGATTTTTGTTCATATGACAGTTTTAGATAAAGTGTGAGGTGAGTTAGTTTACTTCATTGTTTTTTCATTTAACAGACATCTTAGTCCTTTAAGTAAGAATGTGCAGTATAGAAAGAGCCAATTCAGGCCTCTATTTTACATCAAAAAATTTCCTTTGCCAATGTTTGTACTGGTAGTTTAAAGGGATAGATGCGATGAATATATGTAAATAGTCTTACCTTTCCTATTTCTGTAGATGTCTTTTCTATGGCAGTGTCTCAAGAAAAGATGACTCATCTTTTTAACTTTCTGCCGGACAGATTTGAAGGCTCAAATTTCGAGGGTGAGCTGTGATTGGCTTAGCTAAAATAATTCAAGTTTCTGAGACTAAAATATGATTGGTGAAACAAATGGCCCATCTGTCCCTTTAAGTAGAAATGAACACTTATGTGTGAAATATATTGTTTCAGTCAGCATTTAAAACCTCAAATTGATCCCTGTCCTTGTTTCTGGTTGAATCATTTAAGTGGGTGCATGAATATTTGCCTGTGTTTACTGAATGATCTTAATGATTTTGAGAATTTAAAGTGAGTGTACATATTTTGCAGGTGAAGAGGTAGTGAATATGGTAAACAGTTAGTGCTATTTAACGGTTGTGGTATAAGTTGTGTTGCTTCAAGGCACTAAGCTTTTAGATTATTTAGCTTCACCACCCAATTAGCTCCTTTACCAGCTTCAACAGGTTTGTGCATGGTGAAGATCCCCAGAAAATACTTCAGATGTTTTTGCTGTCAACCTAACCCTACTGCACCCAGCATAGTACTGCCCATCTTTATTAGTTCACAATAGGAACCTACCCCACCAACTCATGCTAATTTATGCTACAAGAATTTAAACAGAACTGTAAGGACTTCTGTACATGGTAAAGATAAAGTCCCCTATTAAAGCTGGATATATAAAATTTAAACACGATTTTCCTTTCATATTCTTCCAATTTTTTCCCATAGTTATGTTGTTTTTAATTTGTTATGAAAATTAATATATATATACTATAAACTTGATTTTGTTATGATAACTAGTTAGTAAACAGATTTCTTAATATACAGAAATTCTATTGCTTTTAGTCTGTAAATATACAGAAATAGATGTTGATATTTATCTGTTCAAAAAGCAGAAACATGTAGAGTAGTAACAGTTGATATACAGCTTTTATACCAATCTGTAAATTAACAGAAACTTTACTCTAATAGTCTGTAAATAAGCAGAAATAAATGTTGATATTCATCTGTTAAAACACAAATAAATATAGGGTAGTAACTATAGCTCCTACAGGAATCTGTAAATTAACAGAAATTTTGTTGCTGGTAATAGATACATGTAGAGTAGTTACTGTTGAAAGCTCATGAACTGATCTGTTAATTAATACTGTTGATGGTTATAGTCTGTTGATATACAGAAATAACTAGATACAGGTAAAGTAGCTACTGATCCGTAAATTTACAGAAATACTGTTGATGGTAATTTTCTGTAAATATAGAGAAATAGGTGTTAAAAACATTTAACTATTGTAAGCTCTTATAACAATCTGTAAAAAAAACAGTATATTATATTGAGTATGTTGAGTATAATATATTTATCTGTTAAAGTTGTAACTGCTGATAGTCTTAGTTTCTCAGTATATATTCAGATGTATCACTTAGTAGTATTATTAGCTGTTATGATTGGTGATGTGCCAATATAAAATAAAAGAATAGGTTTTTGTTGGAATGTAGGAGAACCAGACATTGGATTTGAATTCTAAACAGTGCTATGGATGGCTAAAATTGAGCTCAACTTGTAATGTCCCTTTAAGATCTAATATTTCAATGATGGGGAAAAACTATGAGATGAAATTAACAATGGACAACTAACAATGTATTTAATATATTAAAGTAAAGCAATAAGTATATATTATTACGTTATACCTTCATTTTACATTAAATTATTTCATAGATTTTATTATGGTAAAGTTGGTTGTGAATTCATGAAGAAGATTGCAATGAATTTATGAAAATTTATTCAAAAGTTACAAATTAAATTTGTGTGTGAAAACGGCTTCTTAGTTTAATTCTATATAGTTTTAGTTGTTGAAAGTAATACACTAGTACTGATGGGCAAATGTCAAGAGTTTATGTGCTTGGTCGTTCTGCTTGGAATAATGAAGACTGTCAAAAGTCATTTTCACAATATTACAAATTATCTTTAACCACCTATTTATCACAGTATGCAGTGATTTGATTGGATTGTACTCTAGAGAATACAACCAATCAGAGCCCTTGATATGAAGACATTTATCATTATGGCTTATGGTTTACAGACTTTCCGTTAAGAGCTCTGATTGGCTGTAATGGTAATGTGAAATCCAATCAAATCGCTGATTTACAAATTTTCATAACAAACAAGAAAGTGGCTGTTGCAGTCAAGGTATCAGAGAATGTTGGTAATATCTTGACATTGTAAAGATGTACAAAAAATGTGAAGTCTTAGATTGCTTAATTCAGAGGGGTTCAACTAGATTGTGGTCAACCTTGAATTATTTAGTTATTATGGTTGTAAGAAATTATATTTTATTTAAAGATTATATTTGTTTGTAGTTTGCCTAAAATTGATATATTGAATAATGATCACCATAGAAGCAATATTTTGGTTTATCTATTTGTTATATTGTTTTTATTATTTTGCTGCTGATTTTATTTCATTTTTTGTTATTTTATATTTTTTGTAAAATATTTATTTCAAATTTTATTAAATCTGTAATATAATTATATACATATATATATTCTGTGAATAAACTTTAGAATTATAAACTTTGACATATCCTCTATTCTATAGAGACCTATTTTTGTCATCCACGATCTGACAAAATTCAACCAAACAAATGTTCAGTTCAAACAAGGTTGTATCGGTCACTCGTGTGTATTTGGGATATTCATTGTTAAACATAGATTTGTCTGCCAAATTTAAACAATGATTTGGGTATCTTTAATACTATTGGGTCATTCCAGATTTAAGAAGAATTTTGTCAGATCACGGATGAACAAGAAACAAAACGTTCAGATCCTGACTTTAATCAGATTAAAGACATAGAAGCTATGCATCTCATTCGGGCCAACAAAAATTTTTTTACCTGGTAGTTTATCATAGTCCAAACACCTGTACACATATACAATTTATTTAGAATTTTTATTAACCAGCGAACAATTTTTATTCACAAAAGGCAAACACACATGCAATATAAATATATTAAAGAATATACAATAAAGGAATATAATTGTCTAAATATTGGCTTTACCAGCTGAAAGCTCAATTTTAGCCATTCGTAACACTTTTCAGAATTAAAATTCTACATTCGGCTCTTCTTCCGGATCGCTTTCAGATCATCGTTAACATTTTAAAGAGCAGTTATTAATTAATGATATCGGACTGCAAAGAAAATGTTACGAATTGAATAGGAACTAGGTGTGGGATTTTATTTCTGAGAAGGGAAACGGAAGCTAAATTGGCGCTGATGAAACATTATAATATCCCGTTAAGATGAATAATAAATAATAAACACAAACAATTCCTTTGATAACAAATATACCAACAAACAATATGCCAAGTTGGTGAGACATTCAGCTTATTATTATCGTAATCAGCTTCATTAATATTTATCACATTCATTTCCTTATATTATTCTACTTCCGGTATATGGCCTTGTATTACAAAAAAAACAAAGATTTTCATATGTGTGTTTTTTTCGATGATCACGCGTGTTGGATGCTTCCCAAACGACTTTACAAGCTTCCACTTGTACGATTTCATTTGAAAATAGTGAATTTAAACATCAAACATTTTTTTTGTGGAAAACCAGTAATCAAGTACGACTATCAAAAAATAAAGTAAAAATTTCAGGTTTGTGGCCATATTACTACAAACGTGCAAGTAAGTGATCGATATTTTCGTCTCATAAAACTCGGCATTTCTCTACTACATTTCAAAAATAAACCATCCAAATTATCACAGAAAATACAAACATCCCCAATCATTGTCGATATCAAAAGAAAGCAGATTGGTTTAAAAATAATTGGACGGAATTATCAAGGAAAAAATCTTCTAAAATATAATAGGTCAAAAGGTCATAATAGTAAGAATCAGCATTTGCGTAACAATCTATAACAGAGTGTCAATCTATAAGATACTATCTACATGCACCGAACTATGCCAAAATACATCATATCAAATGACGATCACGCATAAACGTTTTGGTCTATGCATGATCTTTTGAAAAACTACTACAAGTGAACGATTTGGTAAGTATATCCGAAAACCTACGCAAAATTGTATTCTTCATGCATTATATCATTCTCCATGATTGTGTTTCTGTTACTTTTAGATAAGTTTGACATGGTTTTAGTTCATGCACAAATGCATCCTACGGTTGTAGTATGTTTGTCTTGATTACAATGGACGGATTGGATTGTATAAGTAAGATAAATATCATTAATAAATTATTACAAGTTTAAGGCAAGTTCAATCTCAAATTTTTCAATGTACTTTAAATAAAAGATAAAAAGGTTAAAATGAAATAAAATAGCATTATACAAAAAGATAAATAAATAAAGAGGTTATTAATAAATATAAAACTTTACAAATAGGAACTTATATATCATAAATATCACAGAAAGGTTTGTAACGAATTACAGGTGTATAAACAATAACAGGTGATCAAAATTAAATATATAATATTTCTATAAATTTTACTTTAAATATGCTTAATGAAATATACTTTAATCTTAATTACTTATAGAAATTGAAGGCAATATCAAAAGCTCTTTATTTTTCCGATATTGATAAATGTGTGTTCTTGCACAAGCCACTGCAATTCTACCTTATCATACAGAATTTAATGGGTTACCAAAATCCACATTGCCATAGATTTGGTGACGCAATAAATTCGAAAATCAAAATAGAGAATTCCAAGGCTCGTGTGCAAGTCGGAGTTTTCGGGATCATTTATGCAAATACTTCTTTGACGTGTACATTCGCATCAGAATCACATCAGATTCTAATGCTGTGGGGTCATTGAAAGCGTCATCTCAGCTATTCGTAGCAGCGTCGTAGAACTAATCACAAAATGATTCCGAAAGCTCGAATTGATAATATGAAAATTCCTCCGAGGAAACATGATTTGATACGTTTATTCAATGATCGTTTTGAACATCATCGCATTCAGTATAATCATTCTTCTGAACAAGAATTTTTTAACAGAAAAATGGTTTTCCTGAAAAAACGATCCAGAATTTGAAACAGTTTTCTAGAAAGCCAGTCCAGGATTCTAAATTATGACCTGAATTTAATGTATCAGATGAGCTTATTTTCAACAGTATTGTTAATTTTTTTAAAAAAAGAATAGCATGGACAAAACTTAACTTCCAACCATCTCTTCTTCACGCAAATTTTCTCTGGAATGAACTTTTGTGTCATCTTTCTTCTTCTTGATAACCAAAACAATAACAATAACAATAAAGGCCAGCAATATAATTCCAGCAATGGTACCACCGATTATTGCAGCTAGATTGTTGTCAGGTCCATCATCAGTATCATCAGATGTAGCTGAAAGTAAGGGGCGTAAAGGTTAGCTTTTTGCTTTCTCATACATTTCAATCTTATTGTATTATTGGTAACGTGAAAGAGACAACCCTTTGTGTCATCTTCTCATCCATAAACACAAGTTCTATAACATTGAAATATTCAACTAATCAAATGCATTGATCCATTTTTTCAAAATTTCAATTAATCTGATTTGTTAGCATACATAACGACAACCTTTGCCTGAAAACTAACCTCAAAAAGGTTAAAAAATCTAAATATCAATACTTACTTTCATCTTTGAATACAGCAAATGATGTTAAATGGTCTGAGGTACAATCAACTTGTGATGCAGTCTGTGTTGTAGTTGTTACACCATCATCTTTCCATGTTGATGTTCCCAAATCCCAATATTTACACTTATACGTCGCCCCAGTTATAGGTTTGGTGACAGGGAATTTCAATGTTACGGGTGTGGCTAGACTTGTTATTCCAGTAATAGCATCTCCTAAGAACATAAAATATTTCAAACATGTATATGTGATTTAAGAATTATTAGGAAATATTTCGATTTGGAAGAATAAATGGTAATAAAAGTTCTATACAAGTCATCTCTTAGAAATCTTAAAACTGCCTCACAATAAAATGTTCAAGTTTGACCCAAAATTACACAAATCCATGAATATTGCTTTGTTACAGTCATCTGACACAGTATTTCGAAATAATTTTCCATTAACCAAGTTTAGTAGCAAAGATATCATGAAAGATAACCTACCGTTGAGTGGGTCCATTAAATCAAGACTAAGAACGTCTGAGGCTCGATCACTGATGTCTTTGGCTACAGTTGAAAAAGGATCCAAAGTTGTCGCATAGTGTTGTGACTTTATGAGAACACCAGAACACGTTCCAGAACTACATGCCCAACTTCCATATCTAATAGAAAAGAGGTTAACATAAAAATTAAATAAAGAAATAAGGCATTCAGAAACAAATTTACGTTTGGCATCAGAAATAAAAGAGAAAAAAAAATTATTAGTTTGGAATTGCGTTTTTTTTGAGAAAATTGTGTTGTAGTTTAAACTTACTGTGATGTTAATGTGCTGCCAAAATCAATCTGAACTTGATTAGTTGATGCACCAGTGGTATACCCAGTAGATGGGATCTCTTCACTGTATTTTTGATCATATTCATTAGCCATACTCACAACTTCAACATCTCCGTAACTAAAACCTTTGGCAATGGACCTAGTGATCATTGGTACGATATTATCTCCATTTAAACCTCTCGTTTTGATGTTTTTGTTGAAGCTAAGGAAACATTCAGCATGCTTCTTAGATATGGCAAAATCGTTTTCGTCCAAGAATGAGACTGTTTCGTTGTAATTGTTAATGGCTTTCCCTAGATCGACATCACTTACAAAACCGATACTTAAAGTACATAAGACATCCATAATAGTAGTGATTCTGTCTTGTGTTTTAGTAGCGCCTGTTAGAGATGACTCGATCAGTTCTAAGAGAGCCGTATGTATGTCATCAGTTGTTACACTTCGTTTGCGTCTGGAAGAGATCGAAGATGAACTATCCAAGTAAACACCCACCATGACAGCACCTTTCAATGGATCAGCTGAAATAAGACACAGATCAGTTTATTTTTATTATGCATATAATACATGAAGTATCAAAAGAATATATCGAATCTTGCTACTTTTGGAGGAATTAATGAGATTTTAAAGAAGGAACCCTACACCCTAAACTTACCAGTTTTCTTGAAATCAGCAACAGCGGCTAACACATTGGATTTAGCAGCTGCTATCTGTGCTGGAGATATTGCTGTTACCGTGACTGGAGCTGAAGTCAATTCCATACAACCACCCTTTTTGGCGCACACCTTTAAGGGAAATCATAACATATAAACGTCCACTTTACAAAATATATTACATTATAACAGGAAACATTAACTTAATGATGAACAGGTATCTAATAGTTAAAGATATTTTTACAACTATTTTTACACCCTTCAATGAACTAATAATTTGTATAACCACCAATACTTGACGTCAGAGAATGACTGTAAATACTGTATTGGAACACCTAATGTCTATCTTAGACTGGTAGACTCAGTCCACAAAGTTTATATTGTTATTTCGGTAGACCTATTTATGACTTTAACTCACCTGAACTATAAAGATATTGGTACTATCTATTTTAGCCTTTGGACCGTAGGGTACCGTCAATGTATTGGTAATCAAATTGTCTGTTAAGGCTAATCGACCGCCATTATTGTTAGTTTGAATAAATAGTTTATACGACAGTGTTCCTCCCTTTGAATCTGTCATACATTGTTTTACAGTCACATCCACCTGAAAGAAAATAAATCATACCATTTATATTAAGTTAAATTTGAACTTCTTAAAAACCATTTTGATCAAACATTGTATGCAATCAAATGAAAACATCATACTGCTGTTCCACATCTCATTTTGACACACGCAGGGACAATTACAAAAGTTCGGCCACTTCAATATCTGTTCGGGGGTGATGTTCTTGTGATGCAGACCGGACCACCCTACACAAGTCTCATAACTTCTTGAGCTTAATCTGAATATGGCGATATGTATAACATACTACAAAAGACAAAACGTCATTTAAAGGTGCTTGACTGAAGCTTGTACAGGGCGAAATGCCTCTTTTGTTTGAATTACCAAAGAAAGGTGATATATACTTACTTGGGCTAAAGCAGTGTAAGATGAGATAGCTTCTAATTGACAAGATTTGACACCAGTATAGACATTGATGTCCACACTTCCGGTTATAACATTATTAGAATTATCTGTTATTGTTGCCTGAACTGTATATCTTTCACCCTTTTCCAAGATACCTAAATTATAAATGAAATGGTTAGTTCATTGAAAACAAACAAATCTGAGGTCAAAGACCACAAATAGAAAATCTTCAATATCTGAACTCATCAACTAATTCCTCGATATTCACAAGCATGCTGAACATCATCAAAATCTGCAATCAATACTACAAATTGAATCGAAGTTGCGACTTGAACAGTTTACCAGATGTAAGTACGACACATTGTTTTGACTTTAATATTGTCATCATATGTGTATAATAGTTCAGCAAAAATATTTTCCTTGATGCCTCGTTAGACAGGACCTTGATGTGGTTCATATATTGTTCCCTCTTCTAAAATACAAAGTATACTGAACATACCTCCTTTAAGAGAAATAATTCCAAGTACTTTGTTATTGCCTAGATCAATTTGTTTGGCTTCTATAGCTAGATTACTTGGATTTGTTAAATCAATGCTTCCTTGTCCGGAATCCTGAACAGAAGCCCATACAATCGAGACTATAGATGCTCCTGGTGATGGTAGTGTTATTAAAGCGTCAATTTTCACTGTATCTGATTTCTCGACATATCCACCATCTCTAATCTCCGACATCTCCACCTATAATAATCATGTTACACTATACTAAATAGTTCGGAACTGACGAAACTGCCAGTTGTGAACTGAGGATACTTCCTGGTTTCGGAACCTAGGAAACCTAGTTGTAAACTTAGGAAACTACCTAGTTGTAAACTGAGGATACTACCTGGTTGTGAACTGAGGAAACTACCTAGTTGTGAACTGAGGATACTACCTGGTTGTGAACTGAGGAAACTACCTAGTTGTGAACTGAGGATACTACCTGGTTGTGAACTGAGGAAACTACCTAGTTGTGAACTGAGGATACTACCTGGTTGTAAACTGAGGATACTACCTGGTTGTGAACTGAGGATACTTCCTGGTTGTGAACTGAGGAAACTACCTAGTTGTGAACTGAGGATACTACCTGGTTGTGAACTGAGGATACTACCTGGTTGTGAACTGAGGATACCACCTGGTTGTGAACTGAGGATACTTCCTGGTTCGGATCTCAGGATACTATCTAATAGTTGTGAACTTAGGATAATACCTAGCTGTGAACTTATGAAACTATATACCTAGTTGTGAACTTATGAAACTACCTAGTTGTGAACTTATGAAACTACCTAGTTGTGAACTTAGGAAACTACCTAGTTGTGAACTTAGGAAACTACCTAGTTGTGAACTGTGCATACTACCTGGTTGTGAACTTAGGAGACTACATGCTTGTGAACTTAGGATATTACTTAGTTGTGAACTGGGTGGTTCGTAGCTAACATTTGAAATCACGTCGGTCAAAATCTTTTCCACAATGCTTTGGAATAAAAAATTGGAACTTGTGGATTCCTAGAATTATCTTCAAAGTTTGGCAAAATGGCACAAGTAAGGCACAAGGTAGCAAAACATATTCGCTCTGCTGAGCACCTCGTCCGAACATCTAATACATCATCCGCGCACACCCCAATTTACAGAGATGACAATGATTGGTACAAAATCATGCGTATCTATATCTACAGACTGTATGCTGTTAGGATTTTGATTTGATTCGGACTGTATGGGTATATTGTTTCCCCGTTCAACTAGCAAAATATGCCACTAAATTAAATGACCTCTTGCTAAAATTGAAAATATTGTATTTACCTTTGGAGGATTTCCAGCAACAGAATTGATCAATACAGAAGCTTGACTAATTCTGGATCCAGATTGAGTCGTGACGGTAAATCGGTACTGTTTTGCAGGTAATAATTTGTTAGCATCAAAGGTAAAAGTAGAAACGGCAGAAGATGGAAAGGTAGTTCCATCTGCTGACAAACATCCGGAGGCAACCTGCAATAAAATTCAGTCTGTTTATTTCTTTGGCACTCAAATACACAGAATTCTACTAAGTTGTTTTGTCGGGATACCTTTGGATCTTTTAAGGTTCCCACTATGAACGATGCAGATCAGAAGATGTAGGGTCAAAAAGGTATCAAGTCGTGCGGATCGGTGTGTGAATCAGAATCTGACATGCTACAGACACTCTAAATATATCTCATAGAAAGAAACGAGTCCGATTTTGATATAGTTATTACTTATTCCTTGTTCTACATAGTTATTAAGTGTGTTACTTACATTATTATCAATCTGTTCACATTGCCAAGAATATGTCATATCACCTAGATTACTGGGATCGACTGATAAACTGGCATCAAGGGTTAAGCTACCACCGTCAACACCGATAGTTCGAGCACTCGCACCTGCAATAAAGATTGTATTTAATGTACAGATATCAAAATCCATAGTTTCAAATCAACTTCATGAGCTTGTCTGCTTATAAATCAACCTCGTGAGAATTTTAGCTTATTCATGAGAATTTCAGCTTATATTAAATCTTACTCATGAGATTTTCAACTTATATCAAATCTTACTCAAGAAAATTTCAGCTTATATCAAATCATACTCTTAAGATTTTCAACTTAGATCAAATCAACATCATGAGATTTTCAGCTTATATCAAATCAATCTCGTGAGAATGTCAACTTATATCAAATCAACCTCATGAGATTTTTTAGCTCATTTCAAAGAAATTCATAACATATTCAGTTCAATTAACTTGATAATATTTTCAAGTAACAATGGCATTTCCAGAAGACATCAAAAGCAAACAGCTCAAAAGAAATTCTCAATGTGTTACCTTTTATACGGGCATCTAGTGGCGGATATGCAGTGGTAAATATAGTTGTTCCTTCAATAGTATCGCCTGGTTTACTTTCTAATGCCACCGTTACCGTAGCAGTAATTGTTTGTCCGGCTGTAAGAAAAAATACCATAATAAAAACCTTGTCTTATCCTGGAGTCTAATGATTATAAAATAACATGATAGTTGATATTTCTTCTCGGCTCACATACCAGCGCCTTCTAAAAGCCCAACCTTTAATGTAGTGTCAAATGCTTTGAGTTGGCGTACATGAAAACGAAACTGTAAATCGAAGGACCGTCACAAAACATAACTCTCAAATAACCATAATTTAAACAAAAAGTCATGGCTCCCTTTGTGCACAGCTTTATCAATTTTTGCTAATATTGGACCAATATTGGTCTGAGTTTTACCTGGAAGTGAATTTGGAGCCACTGTATATCGCGGTCTTGTTTTCTGAACACTATCAGCAGTAATTCCACCACTAAAAGACCAGGAGAAAGTCAGCGTGTCGTCAGCACACCCTTTAATCAGCTTGGCATTAGCAATCAAATCAAAGCTGAAATGAATAGCACAATAGAAATTACAGTTGTTCCTGGCTGCACGAGAGAGAGGTATCTGAGGTGGACACATTTTTACATTTAGGATAACTCCAAGGATAACAGCTCTAAGTCGCCTTACTAATCTGAGAACCGGTCCGACTAAAAAGCGCAAACAAGAGCATAAAGCGCAAACAGGTATCGAAATGCCCTTTTTTAATTCATTGATGTGTGTAGGTAGCGAGAAAGGTCGTGCTCCCGTTTTTATCATTACGATTTTAGTGACATCACATAATTAACACATTCGCATGATTTCAGAAAATCACACAGAAAAAAATGTTTGAAGATCATACCTTTCAGAAACGAGAACGGTTTCTTTACCAGTTGATGACACGAACAGTTTAGGCAGACTCACTGACTTTTTCTTTACAGTTTTAGTGTCTGAACCACTTTGACTAAAGAAATTAGTCACTGCCAAAGTAAATGTGTTGTCGCCAGGGGTAAGACCTGACACATCTGTTGTCTGTGAGGAACTGGAATCTGAAAGAATATTTTTTCGCTCATTAGGCACAGCTCTCAAAAGAAATATGAATTCCTATTCCAAACTAATCAAAATGGATAAAGTTGTGTAAACATTTTGATTCAGCTAATAAAACTATTTAATTATCCGTATCCTTTTTCACAATCCAAATTCGAGGTACGGTTATAACTCGAATCAACATGGGACTGTCTTCACTACTAAAACGAAATGAACATTTCCACTACATTCTTTATCAGTGATAATCAAACATTTATTGAACAGGATAGTTGATTTAATTTGAATGTGATCCTAGGCTGAGTGATGAGAAATACCGCACCATTAAAATAATACAAAAAAAAACTTACCTATTGTTGGTGTATTGGGGCTGACAGACCAAGTATAAGTTATATCTCGTCCTACACCTCCAGAACTAGTAACAGCACGTAGTGATATATCACTATCACAAGATCCAATCTCATTTGGACCTATAATCTTCACGACTGGGGAGACTACCTTGGCTGGTGTTGATACGGAAACAGCTGTGTCTAGTGATAGAGCTTCGGGTTCACCGACTTGTTTAATGACATTTGACTTTGGAGTCAAACTAGAACCTAAAAAACAGAGAAAATATTCTTAAGAATACCTAATACCACATTCGATTGGGTTTGCCCGACGAACGCCTCTACTTGGAGATTACACATAATTCAGAATGTTGGTTGGTTCAGTCATATCACATGAACAAATTATGTAAGCTTATTCAAAGTATAATCCATTCCAAAATATTCCTATAATGATTTATCTATTTCATAAAAATACTTACTAAGACTTAGAGATGAGCCACGTATAAGAAGTTTGGTACCAGAGACTGGTGCACATTGAGCATTAGCACCCAAAGCTGTGACAGACGCTGAGTCAAATATATTACTACAGTCTGAAAATGTACTTGTATTGACAGCGTCACTGAATGTCATTATTATTTCGGCACCTGAAACAAATAAAGTTTCTTACTGGACCAATATCAAAGTAAAATCTCAAAGAAAAATATTGATTATCAAAAGCAATAAATAGATAAGCTTATCTTGATTATCAAAAAAAAGCATGGGCCTTTCTTAGATTACCAAGATGTCATACACCGAATCTGGGCAATTAACCTACCATTATCAGCCCCAAAAGCAGCACTTGCCGTTGGTGCAGCAGCTTGAGCAGTGACAACTTTAGAAGGTTGGTGTCTGTATCGTCCATTTAAACTCAAATACACAGTCATCTCTTGAGATTTAGCTGGATGGTTTATAGTACATTCAGCTGATGTTGCATCTGTCCAGGCTGCTTTAATAACCGATTCTGTTGACCCTCCTAAAATGAAATGGTGGAGTAGAACTAAAATATACCTATTTTTTTATCAAAAATATATATAGTCAGTAGTGAAGTTCTAAGGTGATAATGGTATAATCGGTTGAACCCCACTGTTGTTATATTTCTTGGTTGCATTGAGCAGTACAGTGGGGCGTATAAGAGTGCGCATTATAGACAGTAACAGGTACCTTCTTTAATTATTAAAAACTCACCAGTTACAATGATACAGTAGGTTGAATTCTGAATGAAACCAGTACCAGTTAGAGTTAACGCCTGTGTATCGCTTGTAGCACCTTTGATAAAGTTCACAGGGCTGATAGACGATAAAGCTACACCTGAAATGGAATATTTGAAAAAAATATAATTTTTTGTAAGAAAAGTCGTAAAACTAATATATTCAACAGTAAAGTTGGTATCAAAATTTTGATTTGTGGTCTGCATGCTTTTAGATAAATGAAAATGGATTTTCCGGATATATCGGAATACTCTATAATAATACTTGTCATTCAAATATCCAATATACTAACCTGTTGAGTCATAGACTATTAGATCAATAGTAGCACCTGACATATCTGATCCACTGATACAATCAATCTTATATGTTCCTTAAATTACAAAACAAAGTCAAATTTCAGCAACAATTTAACAAGTCCTGTCAAATTTCTTACTTAAATTAGATTTGTATAACAATTGTGCGGAACAAAATGTTGAATCTGTGATTAACTATATAGACCTTCGTTTCATGCTTAGGCTATGCCATACCCTATTCATAGAATCCGGCAGTGAGAAACCCAAGCTAATAACTATCACAGATAGATTACAAATGTCTTAAAATCATTTAAACAAGTTACACTGAGAGCTGAACACAATGGTGTACCTACCGGCAGTT